ACATATGTTTGCAACTAACTACTGATATATTTAAACCAGGATACATCTCAATTTGATGCTGTAAAGTCAAACTTAGGACTCTATAGGCAGCCAAAGAATTATCTTCATGATCCACTCCAATTGAAAATAGAGTGCAAGAAAAATGCATAACACATGCTTGTGTTGAAAAAACAAATATGGAAATGCAAACCTGGATAGGTTAAGATTGGAAAGATTAAACAGCAAAAAGTCATTGTCTGTGGGAGAGAAGACAGTTTCACAGATTATAAAACATAGGACTGGGAATAAATCTCTGCATTCAAGCCTGGTATTTCCTAGACCCAGGTTCAGCAATCACCCCTACAGCATAAAACCAAGAAGAACAACTATTTAAAAGTAGACAGCCTTTCCAGATTTAAAAAATGGGTTTCTGTTATTTTTACACAGGAACAATTTCAAATGACTTTAAATAGTCATAATGTTAACCATACATTTTTAGGAAGGTGTTTTTTTAAGAGTCAAACTACCCCTAAAATATGGAATGCAGTATAAGTTTAGTAGTAATATGAATTTCATTGGTCTTTTTCAGTTTTTTTTCCCTAATTGACTTTCATTGTATGTTTTATCCTAGCACATCTTTATTGAGGTGTAACTTGCATAAAATTCATGAACACATTTTTATATCATATAATTTTGTTCAATTATTTAATTTTTTCTAATAGTTATGCTCTAATTTCTATTGGTGGTTGTAGTTAGAATTTTCCTAGTGATTACTTTCCTTTGAAGATCTCCTAATCTCATTGCTTCCTACGTCTAACACCCCTACTGCTAGCTGCTCTTGAGGTTGCAATCTAGAGGACTGTGGTTTGCACCAAACATAGGCAGACAAGCCCAGGAGACTCCATGTTCAAAACAACCAGCAAAAAGCAGGACTGGACACATGGCTCAAGTAGTAAAACACCAGCCATGTAAGCAAGCCAAGCAAGTGTGAGCTCCTCAATTAAAATCCTGGTACCAGCAAGTAAACAAAAAAACAAACAAATAAATAAACTTCTAAATGTAATATCTAACCAATACTTCTAATATATTTGTACATACTTTTATTACAATTATTACCATTTACAACAAAAATATTATGGCAGTAATTTCTAGGTTCATTGTATTTGCAAGACTATTTTGTAAAGTGTAGTCACTATAGAAATCTTCTATACACATGGTCCTCACTGTTGCCATTTTCTTTAGCTGATGTCTGATGGAAATATTGCAGCTACCCTGGGCTTGTCCTTTTCTTAAGAAGAATGGCTTGCATTGACTAATCACTTAATTAATTAAATCTGTTCATTGAAAGAATGTGGGGAAAATATAAAAAATAATGAAAGCCAGTGATACAAAATAGATCAAAAGAAATAGAAAAATAAAAAGGAAAAAAGAATAAATAATAAAAACGATGATGACTAAAATCATAGAGAAAACATTAATAAGGAAAAGTAGTTTAGAAACAAGTCACAGAATATGGAAATGTGCCTTCTTAAATAATATAGTATAAAGCTGGGCTTCGGTAGCTTATGCCTGTAATCCTAGCTAATCCATAGACTGAGATCTGAAGATTGAGGTTCAAAGCTAACGCAAGCAGAAAAATTCATGGTACTTTTATCTCCATAAAACTCAAAAGTAGAGCTGTGGCTCAAATGGTAATGCTCTAGCTAGCATTAGAAAAGCTCAGGGATAGTGTCCAGGACCTGAATTCAAACCCCAAGACTGACAAATATAAAAAAGAAAATGGCAGACAGAACTGATGAACCCTCTTGAGGAGTATGCTGTGGGATGGAGGAGGAAGAAGAACTCATTGCTTACTATTCGTGTCTCAGGTTTTATTTCTTTACAATAAGAATATGTGTACCTGTCTCAAATAGTTGTTAATAAATAAATAAAATAGAAAAAGTATGTAGAGTATCCTGATATTCAATTGGTAGCTTTCATCTATGCCAGTCAGCAGTAAGGAAAGTCGTAATACATGTCCCAATGTTTGGGCATCTATTAGTCATCCACTGCATTTACTTGTAGATTTATCAGCACATTCTAGGGCTCTAGATGTTAACACACTGAAGCCAAATGTGTATATGCATAGGAGTGGTTGACAAACTCAATAGCCTTATGTGTAGATAATCATATAAACTAATATTCTATTGAATGAACTCCTAGAAAAGGAAAGAAGAGACATTTTTTACTTGTTATTTCTTTTCCTTTTGTCTTGATTGTTGGTTTATTTGTATTTGGGAGGGCACAGAAAAGGTGGAACAAAGGGTGAACAAATACAACAGTGATACTAGACACTATGTAGAAAATGAGCTGTATCTTGTGGGTGGGAATGGGAGGGGAAGAAACAGGAGAGAGCGGGTAGAGAGGAGACATGATTCAAAATACTCATTAGTCATTACCTGACTCATGTAACTGTAACTCCTCTGTGTATCAATTCTACAATAACTATAAAAACTAAAATAAAAACAAATTCAGAAAAAGGCTTATTACAGGGTTTTATGGCAAAAAAAAATCTGAGTTGAAATAAAGTTGAGCAAAAGCAGCAATTTATTCATGTCTTACAAACATGATCTTACAAACATCATACAGAGCTGGCACAAAGGGACAGACACCATCTCGTACACCATGCTTCCTTCCAAATCACTTCTATTGAGCTACAACGTCAGAACAAGTCAGTTACTGAGTTACACGGTTCTTCAAACATGGACACCTCCCTACTAGGGTGGTTGGATTGGCTAAGAAGACAAACAATTAATTTACATTTTTAAGTAACACTGCAGAATTTGTAACTGAATTCAAGATATTCACATTAATATCGCAATACATTATAAAACAGTACAATTTTCAGAAATGATAAGATCACCTCTCTCCTTGGCCTGTTTCATTTCCTTCCTTCCTTTACTCCTTCCGTACTTTTCTCTTCTTTTTTTTCTTTTTCTTAAAACCAGTTGCAAATAGTTTTACTCAACTTTTCACACTCAGAACACTTCAAGTTGTAAAAATTAAAAGCTATTTACAAATTATCCATTGGAATTTTTAAGTATTGGTTGATTTTGTTGTTCTACTTAAAAAAAAAGTCACCCTCTTCCAATAGACATACTATACAGCTGTGACCACCCTTAATTCCTTTAACTCCTGGCTAGCTCCATAGGATATTTTAATTGTACTCCAGTCCATGGCCTACCATACCAATATACATACACACAAAGGCCATTTTTCACATCTCCACTTTTCACACCCACTACAGCCCATTCTATGATGTTTTCACAGAAATGCCAAGTGGACCAAGATGCTGTGAAATGACTCCTTAGTGGAATGGAAAACATGACCATGGACTATTCATGTTTAGTCCTCAAATCACCTTAAAGCACAAAAGAAAAGAGCTTGGCTTGCATTCTTTGTACATGTAGGTAGAATGTATAACATGTATTCTTTATACTAGGTATAGTCATAAAAAGCAGGTATAAGATTGTGTGGAAAATGCATTTTCATTGAATATACAAACACTGATATCAAACACGCTCTCAAAAACTGCTGAAATACTGACACAAAACCTGACTCAAAGTGTAAATTGTTTTTATTAGACTTTATTTCTAACTTGCATATTTAAGAATTCAGCTGTACCCGAATCTCACCCATACTTATCTAAAAGCACAAAGAGCGACATTATCCTTTAATTGATTCTTTCCAAATAATCACAAGGGCACTGCTTTTCACTAACAGGGTTTGAATGAATTCCAGAACCCTGGCACTGCAAAAAGAGTACAAGACACAAATCTGTAAACTATTTTATGACGATAGTTCAGGACAAATTAGCCTAGAAACCATAGTGAAAAGCATACTATGTTGTGCTAATTTGACAGCTTAACTATAGTTTGTCAACATGTATATTATGTTAGGATTTCTCTTCAAGTCTTACGTTAGACTTCTTCCTCAGTTCATTGGTTTCAGTATGTCAATGTAAAAAATGTCACAGTCTTCTTTTGCTTTTTGAATAGTGTAATGCTTTCTAAGAAAGAATAAAGTAAACAAAGACTTTGGTGCCACACCCACTCTGGACAGAAAGGATGGCCTTGGATATTCACTTGTACACTACACTGTACATTTTTCATACAAGAAAATTGCATTTCTAACTGAATTTCTAGCTGAACGTTTCTTTAGCCACTCACTAATTCAACAACTTCACAAAGGTTAATGGGAGTTTCTCAGGCCACAAAGAGAGTATGATAGGCAGTGAATAATTCAAGGCTCATGATTCTTATGTGGGATTCTATTTTACATTTGACTCACATGTCACTTTAGGGTCAGAGAAAAATCATATGTCAGCCACAGTGTTCTCAAATCAGCCCTTTGATAAGATGATTTCTCAGCTTGTTCACTGTCCTTTCAAAAGGAGCCTAAGTAACTCCCCTTATAAAATTGGATCAAAATGATTAGAAACCAAAGTGAAATAAGCAGATACTTGTCTATGTAGAACAACCAGTTACACAGGACACAAGTAACCAAAAACATACTAGAGAAGATTTCTGTAATGTCTTTGGATTTAAAGAAAATTTGATTTCCCCAGCCTTAAGGAGAAAAAAAATGGATATATTTCTGTATTTTCCATTTTTTAAAAATTATATTACTGAACCACGTGGATGTCTCAGGACACATTTGAATGATGTGATCACCTCTATAGCACATCCAGGGCTTGGGATTATGGTAGAGTGCTCATTAAAGGCTTGGCTATCCCCATTTATAGCACTACAGGGAAACTGAATGTGTTAGAAGATTTATCCAACTTCTCTAATAAAGGGGAAAGTAGGGGAAAGTATCATGATACACATTTACAGTTACTTTCTGTTATGCTAATTCAATCCACCTCTATCAAAAAAGAAAAAAAAATGATAGCTTGAGTCACAAGCTTACAATCACACATAAGAAAGAAAATTGTTCCTTGCTTAGTAAAATCCCTTCAGTGTCAGCACATGACTAGGATGCTAACCATCACAAAGTATGTGCCACTTGGCAATCTGTCTCCGGGGGAAGTCAGAGATTTCCTTCCAGTGTTCCCCGCCCGTTCCTTCGGCTGCTGCACCCAGGACCAACCGCCCAATCACTTCATTTCGGGACCCTCTCTCTGAATCCAAAACTAGAAATTCCACACTTATTTCTTCAAGACTCTCACAAGGAATATCGAACACAAACAGTTCGTTAAACACCGCATTGGGGGTACATTTCTTCACGTGCGTCTTCTTTTTGGAGATTCTCTTTTTGGCATGGTACAGATTCACTTTTACATAGGGATCTGAAAGAGAAGACAACAGGCATTACCACAAGCAAGTCCAGCTGCAGGTCTGATCTCAAGGTCATCGTGCCCTTAGCAAACACAGCCTGCCCCCCTATACCGTAGGAACAGTGAAAGAGAGACTGGATACAGATAAGGTTTGGTCTTTCTCTTGTTAACACGATTGAAAATAAGGTGATTATACAATAAAAGAGAAAAGCAGTTTAAAACCAGGGAAGGAATTATCAATCTAGAAAAAGATAGTCCCATCAAGAAGAAAATAGACCTTCTTGTGGACATATGATAATAATGAATAACTTGTTGAACAAAATGAAGTAGTACTTTAAAACACATGCTCCATATGTAAGCACACTGAATTGATGCTCGTTTTTTCCATAGGTTGGGAACTCGGAGTCCACTGTGGCTAGGTCTTTACTTTTATTTTTCTGCTATTTATTACTCTTTTGTTGGGTTTGCTGTTTCCCACAGTTAAACTTCTCATGTCAACTTTACTGTGTGGATTTTAAGATTATGCTGCTCTGCCATATATTTCACTATATTGTTTTAGTTTTTTTTTCCCTACCACAACATATGAATTAATTTTAGTAAAAACTTTAAGACCGTACCTCCAACTTTCTTCACTAAAGGAAAACATAATACTAGATGACTTTGTAATGAAATATATACTTGTAAGTTTCAAAGTACTCCTCAGCATTATATTATTATTCCAATATATAAGGAATATTTTAAATATACATAAGGATAATCTGTTTAGAAAGGAGTAGGTCAGGGTTGGAATTTAGATAACTTTAACCCATAGTCTATATTCTTTTTTATAATTCTTTACAAGGGGGTTGTGTTTGTTTTCTAAGACTTAGTGGAAAACCTAAAATCTAATTGTAAAATATGTTAACTTTTATAGAATATTAGATATAATATAGTAAAAGAAAACTTTTAAATAGAATAATTGGGCCCATTTAAAATAACCAAATTAAACTTTTCCCTTTAGCTCTTAATGTTATTTCCATCTTGGAACTTTTAGTCATGAGCTCTCACCTCGTAATTCAGTATTTCTTCTGTCTCAACCCCATCCATCAGATATTTACTACACACTGGCTTTGTCTGAGAATTTAGAACCATACTGATGTTTTTCTTACTAATGGTAACATCTGGCTCACATTATAATTTCAAAAGATGATAAAAAGAAAAAATAATTCTATCATTTGTGAATGTAAATAAAACTAAAAATAAAATAACCGACCAATGTGAATAGTTAAGTATGTTGTTAATGCACTGCTCACTTATAGATGGAACCTGAGTATTTTGGAAGTTTTCTTACCTGAAAGTCCAGACACATCAGATTTAGGCAGGTGTCGAGCCTTTAAGACAACCACAGTGAGAGTATTTGTGGTGGACTGATAGCAGAGAGAGATCAGTAACTCGCCCCGGCCAGAGGACTTCTGAACAATGAAAAACGCAATACAAGTATTTTTATTATATTTTGAAGTTTGAAGTTTGTATATTTAGCAGAAATTTTACAGCACTATAATGACATTCTTATTTAAATTTAACAAACTTCTTTAATACATATGTCATCTATGAGTAACTAAAAGCTTTTGTGCTGTTTTGGCCTAAAAACCATTGCCTGCCATCTTGTGGTTCTTTTAGGAATTTCAGAATTCAAGAAGTTGGCCACACCCATTATTTACAAAAAAAATAAATAAATTAAAGGATATTTAGATTATACTCCACTTGGCTCTTGCTATTTAACAGATCTATTCAGTCTTTGAAGTTACTAATATTAATAAAAACTTACCCAATCCTTTGAAGCACTGTGAATAACATCATGAATAATGTGGCAAACTTGATTTCAAATTCTTGTGTACTGATACAGGAATTTGAATCCAAATCAAGTAATATTCTGACTCCCACCCATCATCTCTCCAGAATTGTGATGGCATTAAAACTGTTGACCATTTCCTTACCTCAAGCATCCCTTTAATCTAAAGAAAAAAATCTTAAATTTCAGTATTGAAGAATATTGTCTCTATATTTATAATGTTCCTATTAGACAGTGTCATAATATCTTTCCTTGCAGGATACTTAGATATAATTTATATTTCAATTATATTAGGATGTGCAACTAAAGATTCAAATATAAGTTTTAACTATAAGTATCAAATGTTAACTTGGGTCCTGTTACTGAGAAAGAACTCTTGGAATTGTAACATATTTATGCCAAAGCTGACATAGAGTAGCTGTGTGCTTAGGCACTCCCAGGGCAATTAGAGTGGGAGACATACACGTCATTCATCTTGCCATGCCACTCATCAGCCTAGTATCTCAAACTAGGTGTGTTAACATCCCTTGACTTTCATTAACTTCCACACACCCAAGGAAAGGAGAGGCTCATAATAAGTTTGAAAGCTGTTCTGAACTTTACATTACAAATTGAATGACATTGTGCCATAAGAATTAATGCAGTTCTGTATTTTTTTTAATGAAAACAGGGTTAAATTTATTCAATCAATGTTTTGTCATTTTCTAGTGATCTCAGAGATCCCAAAGTAGCATAAACAGAAAGTCAGATTAATCCACTTCCTATTGCACCACACATACAGGCATTCATAATTTAATATAAAATGGATGACCTCTCCTTTGAAAAGAAATCCAACCACAGCCCAAAGGACTGTTGAAAAAAGTATTCAATTTTAAATATCAATTTCAAATTCAATTATGCAGACCTTGAAATATTATTAAATTTGTTGATTAAGTAATTTTCACATCAGTGTTAAAGTAGCTATCGCTACTGAAATGCTTATAATGCAATTAACAAAACAATGTAAATCTTATTTAAGCAGGAGAAAATATGCCTGTTTATATGATATCTTTAGGAATTACAGATATGGGTTGTATTTTCATTCATTTCCTCTACTCCCTTGTTCTCAGATTATAACTAATAACAATGAAACTTCACATGGTGGGGATGATCGGTAAAAACTTATCATTGTAATAGAAACCTGCATTACAGATTGTTTCTAAACACATTAGCACTCAAAGTAAATTACCCTAACATTTCTCTTGATGATCTCTCTGGTCATTAGCATTTTTCCATCAGACAATTCAATTCCTGTAAGAGGCATAAGGACTTCTCCAATGATATCATCTCTGGAAAACCTGTCAAAACTCAAGATGGTAAAGTGCAGAGCCAGCTCTTGGATCTGAGTGTAGGGGATCCCATAGAATGTGAAGGTCTCATCAAAAGCTGGGTCCAAGGTCTTTCTCAGCACTCTGGTTTTCACTTTGTGCTTCTTCTCTGGGAGGATCGTCATTTTGATGTAGGGGTCAGAGGTCATGGATTGTTCATCCATGGCTGGCAAGCCACGAGCTTCTTTGATGTTCACCACAAAGGCTTTCTTCTCAAAGTTGTACTCTAAGGAGAAAAAGAGGGTTCCCAGCTTCTCTTGTTTCTCTTCTGAACTAAGGGAAGTGCTGGATTTTAGGCTATCAGGGGACACTGCCTCTTTTTCTCCTTCTGGAAAGACCTTGTGGGTTACACTATCCAGATCAGGAGGGCTGCAAGCTTTGACATTCGTTTTGGGGAAATTGCCATTGAGATCTCTCTTCTCAAGATCAAGATGCAGTGAATTCTTTGGCACAGCTGGCTTATTCTTGACTTCATTCTTTTCATCTCCTCCAAACTTCTTTTTACTATTTAGGTTTTCAGGATAAATATCAACTCCTTTAAGCACATGTACAAACTTGTATGGAGGGGTCTTGTTGGACTTGGATGATTTTCTCTGACAGCAGATCCAGGCAAAGAGAGAAACTGTGAAGACGAGGCCAAAGGCACTGAAGATCCCCACCACTGTGGGAATTTCATCTGAAAAATCAAGTGACCAACAACATACATTAAAGGCACAGAGCAGAAATATGAGACTCTTGGAAAAGCATAACAGAGTTAGCAATTGCTACAGCCTAGACAGACAGAATTACTTTCCAGCAGTTCTGGGCGTGAGCTCTATACCCATTTCACACTAACTTCAGGGATATACACATTTCTTGGGTGACACACAGTATAATAAAAATACAAAATGATAGAAGAACCTTCATCTCAGTAGGTTTTTTTCATGGATCAAATGAGAAGATGAAATGGGATCTGGGTCATGTATGGAGGCAGAGGCATGCTTAATAACCCTGACCTATTGGCTTTCTCAGAAAACAAGAGCCACCTACACGATGATGGGGTCAGTACTAATTTCATTACTTTTGCGTTGACATTTCAAGGCTTTCCAACAGCATCTATTCTTACTGGCTATGGAGCCTCCAATGCATGTGCTTCAAATAAATTCTATATTTTTATACTTCCTTATTAATCCAGGTTTCAAGAAGCAAGCATCTAGAAATTCAGTGGTTTACATAGTTGTTTTTTTTTAATGGAAGCTATATACTATTGACACAAACTGATTAAAAATACTCAGCTCAGTTATGAAGCAGTAGCAAAAGATGTACTTATATTGAAGAAAATAACAAAATACTTAAAGCTATAAGATACTAGTGGTATTTAATTTACTATACTACAATCTCCTATGTGAATCTAAAATTCTTCAAACATTGAAATATCCAGTGAAAATTAATTCACATTAGATAAAAACAGAACAATTGCTATAAAGTCATCAGGACTCCTAGCAAGTAATGAGAGGAATAAATACATGTAAGTATAATTTTAGTGAAACTGATTTTTCTTAGCATATTTCCATATGGCAAATTTCATCTATAAGCATATTTCTCAGACAAATGACTAACACTCTGTACATAAAAGCAGTACTGCTACCAATAGCCATAGAGTATCAATTAAGTCAATGTTTAAAATATTTTAAGTGAGTATAACTAATGCAATAATATAAAAATTGAATCCTAGTCCCATCTAATTTTACTTCAGTGAGCAGCATGGCTAAAAGTCCCAGACAGAAAAGGGTTAAGAATTCTTAAAACCAAAAGACCAATCTTTTGTTATACTCTTTTTCATCTTCCAAAGTAACCTCTCTCTCATCATAAAACTGAACCAAAAAATAAATAAAACTGAAAAAACAACAAAAATAACTAGTATACAAAAGGAAATCAACCCAATATCAATTAAAATTTTCTGCAGTTAAATGATATGAAGAAACTGAATCTTGTAAAAATGAAAAAAAAGCTTTACATTTCCTAAATAAGAAAAGTGAATGACACAGAGAAAGAGTAAGGCCAGAGTTAAAATAATCAACTGAAGTTAGCATCAGCTTCCAGTTTTCTGTTCTATTTAAGTCTTTGTGGAGGGTAAACGTCCCCACTCTTGGACACTCAGGCCAGGGACTAAAAGCAGATTCATGAACTGAGATGATTTTCCAGCTAATGCAAGAACAATAAAAGCAGTGGAAAAACACTATTTTCTAAGTAAACTGAAAAGGTAGAACACATTTTCACTAATACAGTCTCAGAAGATACCTCACTTCTAGACAGTCTTTGAATCAGAACAAAAATTGGGTATAAATATCCCAAAGAAATAAACCTACCCATGGAAGGATCTTTGAAAAATCATGTATGAGTCTGAAACCACAACTTGTCCCTATTTAACACTTATATCAAATAGCTAAGCTTTCAAGACAACATGGACTCAAATACTGCCAGAATTCCTCTACCAATAAGGTCTTAAGGTTTTGAGGCAAAGATCATGGTGATTCCATTCAGATTAGCAACAATTATTGCAGATCCATACATATCACTCTTAATCATAAACTTCTACACCAGTCTGTTTAAAATAAACAAGCAAAATTCTGATCCCTTGCCTTGGAAATATAATTGGCTCTAAACAGACTACTTGTTTATTCTAAGAAGTACATCTAAGTTATTGAATCGTACAAGGAAATCCATAGTGCAAAAATTTGAAGGAATAGTAAACAAGTACACAGAAGCCACAATTTAAGTTTCCAATTCCTTTTAGCAGACTGTGCATCCTGTAGCCCTGCCCTGGTCTCTCTGTTAGCTAACAGTGAAATAAATGGGCTGAGCTATTCATTCCCTAAGTCCCTTAACTGTACTATCTTAACTGTAATGCACACACACACACACACACACACACACACACACACACACACACACAGGCTCATTTATACAGTTATACATTTCAGATACAGGTTATTCTTTACAAGCTCAAACTCTTATGTAACCGCGAGCCTATGTGCCTCCCCCTAAAAAGGTCTGCTACCTACAAACAAGAATAATCTACAAAACAAATGAACCCAGAATATGAACAACAGACGGCTTTTCCTATACTCAGCGCTGGCTGTAATCTACAGAGCTCCCGGAACGATTAGGAACTTCTGGAAGGTACTAACAGAAAGCAGTTTTAAGCAGACAGATACCGAGGGTAGAAGAGATAGTAGAAAGCCACAATTAACCATCTGCCGCTCTCCTTTTCCTTTCTAACTGACTACTTTAAGGAAATTATATAAACATATATTCAACATCCAGTGGAGGAGGGGGCGAGGAAAATCACAGCCCACCCCACGGTATTTAAAGAACAACCACAGCTCTAAGTTAAGCAACTTGCTTACCAAATTCTTCCCTGCTGGTGGTGATCGGAGCCATTTTTTTGCTGCGTGTTCTGTCCGAGGTGCTGAACGGAAACTCCCAGGCTTAATACACTTGCTTGAATGTGAAGCTCTCTTTCCCCAACAACAGCACAGAGCCCAGGGGATCTGCGCCTGGAACAGGGAGGAGGAGGCAGGGAGGGAGGTCCACGCGCCCTCGCCCAGTGATTTGCCACCCCTGTTCCTGTTTTGGCTCTTCTGAAAAGCTCGTCTCCAGACTCCAGACGTGGCTGAAACCCGAATTGACGCAATGCTGACGCTACAGGGCTGAAATCAGCACCTGCCCACCCCCCTCCTCCCTCCCAGCCTCTCCTTCTCGCCCTCTTTCTTGCTTCCTCTCTCCTCTCTGGGGGATTCAGAACGCTGTCATCAATTATTTTAACTGTTAGACTACTAGATACTTGCTTTGCTGTTCTGTGGGGACACAGAGGCACTTAAAGATGGGTCTTGAACCTGATTGTTGTCAGTTCCTAATTAAAAAATGAACCTAATCACCTGCTAGAGTGTATCTGAGTTATCAGAAGATCATGATTTTATAGAGACAGTTAAAGGAAGCAAAAGGGAAAGATTCCTGCCTCACTGGAGAAAAGAGGAAGGCATTATGAAATATTTTTAATCTTCAGTCATTCTTTGACATACAAAATGCAGGTTTCACTTACTGTAGTTGGGCATGATCCACTGCAAATTGAAATATTTTGAATGAGACGTCCGCTTTCCCACTTTGACTCTCATATGATCTAGGAAACTGTAAGTATGAATATTTTGCTGGTGCTGTGGCTCCTTGCTGGTGTGTCAGCTCTCATCGCTTTAATATCTGACATTCGACCACTTAAAGTACTTAGGAACAGATGGGCATAATCCCTTCTGTATCCACACACACACACACACTCTCAGGAATAACTTTCCATATAATGACAGTGCTCCTGGAATGACATTTATACTTTGAGTCACTGACTCTCTTGGGGTTTGTGACAAATAAGGAGGATTAGACCAAAACCTAAAGTAATATTTATTATTGATTATTTTTTTCTGAACCATGATATTCTTGGAGACAAGTATATGGGTACATAATGATGCCACAATCTGAAGAGTATGGCTTTTTTTTTTTTTTGAGTAGGGCTTTTTAAGACAAATGCTTAGCAGTTTTCTAAAGGAGACAACTGTGCTTTTGACTTCCAAATGTCATTAATTGTTCCACAAAGAATTCCTGTGTTCTGGAAGATTCAGTATATATGCTGGGATGAAGAAAAAGGTGGCACTAGGGGAAAACTACACAGAAAGCTACAATATGAGAGACAATTTTCTGCACATGAGCAAATGGTTGCCCTGAGTCTCAGCACTGTGTCTGGAGAGATGCTGGCTTCAGTCTTTTGCATCATGGAAAATTTTACAAACCGAAGTCTCTATTTTCCCCCTTTCTAATAGCTCCCACATACTTGGTGTTTTAGCATTCTTTGAACAGATTGCTTAAAAAAAATCTTTACATCTTCATGCTATAAAAACAGAGAAAATAATTTTCTGTATTTAAATTTTCTATCAGTAGACTTTTTGACAGTGTTCTTACCCCTCCATTAAGATCACCTGCCTTTTGAGTTATACATGCACCTGATTAGAACAACCCTTAGAATAAATGTACACTACATGAAAGAGGGAGTGGCATTTATCTGGGATGCATACCACACAAGGATCTATAGTATGGATTGTAATGAAGTACATGTTTTCTAGCTAAGTTTTTGCTAACATATGGCAAAGCTCACTTGTTACAAACATAAGTATGCTATGTTTATGTTATACATAAATTAGTATATCATTAATCATACCTTCAGATACTAAAATGCTGTCTGAAACCTGTGATTTAACTCATATGTCTCCAAGCCTCTAACTCATTCCATACTATCTCATTTCTCAGGACATGTTGTGATAAGGTTATCTATTGCCAGAGCTAGTACTACTGTAGTAATGATTTTCTTGCTTACTTTATAAGTAAACTGAAATGTTATTAAGAAAATACTTAAGTTTCTTCTTATCTTCATTTGATGAATAGTCCTTCACCCATTACACAATCTTTTACACAAACTACACTCCATGAAATATCAAATGTAAAAATTGGTATGTTTCTTAGCATGGAGAATCACACCCTACCACATCATTACCTTGTTCTCTATAGATATAGCAAACTAGTAATCAATTATGACCAGTCTTACTCCAGCAGCAGGGAGTTAGAAGGAGGGGTTGTTGCTAGGTAACAACATTTCCACCACCCAAAACACACAGCTTCAAATAAGTTTCTGCCCTGGGAAACAGGGTTCCATACAGGAGGTAGGATTTACTTCATGATTTTAGTGGCTCACTTTTCACTTCATTTTTTTCCTGGTTACAAATACCTTCATACACTCAGAGGTTCAATTAAAAGAACTCTTGATCTGATTACATTTTCAGAAATTCAGTTGGAATTAAAGAGTACTGATAGCATATTTTTATTCTATCTCAATCAATTAGTTGGCTTAATTTAATTCAGTAAACTGATTCATGAAGTTTATTCATATAGTTTATGAATTATATAGTGTTTTTAACATTCCTTCCTATGAAAAAAAAGTTTAAATAGGGATACAGGTTGACCCATCGCAACAATGAGATGTACAGACATTATGTGAAAAAAAGAACTTTACAATTTAGGAGGTGGGAGGGAAGAGATGGTAAGGGAAAACAAAGGAGGAGGCAACAATGCTTGATAAGAAATGTACTCATTACCTTGCTCATGTGATTGTAACCCCTCTGTACAGTATTTTCACAATAAAAAATTGTTTTAAAAAAAGAAAAAAACATTCTTTCCTATGAAAAGTGCTGGTTGATGTGTTTAGAAATTTTTGTTAAGCAAAAAAACTTTCATGCTACAGTGATATCTAGCAACCTGTAGTAATACTCTGATTAATAATATCGAAGTATTTTACTGGCATGTCAGCAAAGTTGACTGAATTGTCTGATGATGAAAAACTCGGTAGTTGATTTAAGGTTCCAGAAAGAAATCCTGGCAATGATGCTAATAAAACAGATTTATCTTACAAATTTACTCAAGATAAACAGCAGCAAAAATCCTTTTCTAGATAGTATCACAGAGGCCCCAGAACAATCTGCTATTTCTAAACTTATTTTTCTTTAGCATAGCCAGGAGTTACTATGTGAGTTCATAAATGACACTGGACTTCCCAACTTTGATAAAAATCCACTATGTCTTCCTTCTTCCTTCAGTCAACAATTATTAAATATCTACTACTATTGGGCTTTTGCTAAGTGAAAGAAGGGAGAGAAATTGGTCGAGATGATAAAAAGTAACCTTGCCCTCCTTTGAATAAAAATACATTTACATGATAGTTTCAACCATATATCTTCTTCTAACCTGAAAAATATCATATTTGATTATAATTGCATGTATATGACTTTTGTCTTATGTTTTCTAGAATACTTGACTAGCCATAGCTCACAGCCCACATATCAGTGGTATTCAACCTGTTGTTAGTGAACCACTCATTCAGTAGCAAGTAACTAGGATAGATTTAGAGATTTTCACTCCTACAAGAATCAATTGAGATTTTTTTTTTTGCCAGTCCTTGAGCCTAGGCCTGGGCCCTGTCCCTGAGCTTCTTTTGCTCAATGCTAGCACTCTACCACTTGAGCCACAGCACCACTTAAGGCTTTTTCTATTTATGCGGTACTGAGGAATCATTTAAATTACGTGGTTTCCAACTTACCAGCATGGAAGAATTTCTTATGATCTTAAATGCTGAAACCTTTTAATCCAGCTTGAGATATTCTTGATATTTACATTCATACATTCCAAAACCCCGCCTTCCCTAATGTTAACCTGAATACTCCACAGTAATTTTTGAAGGTATGACTTTTTTTAATCCAATTACCAGATCTTCACGTGTCAAGAAGAATTTGACCTAGAACCAATCTAAAGTTTGTGCTTTTACAGTTAGCTTGAAGATGTTTAATGGTGATTCCTGTATATTTGCTCTCCTTTTTCAATATATTCCTATAAATTTCTCTTAGCCTCGCATCAACAATAACACTTTATACACTTGTTGAGAAGTGTAGAATAGCAGTACATTGAATTATCTGCTTAAATAGTGAAGATTTAAGAGCTATTATTTTTGTTTGACCACATTTATTTTCAAAATGTCAAGGTAGCTGGTCTCCAGTGGCTCATGTCTATAATGCTAGTTATTCAGGATACTGAGATCCAGAGAATCACAGTTTGAAGCTAGCCCAGGAAAGTCAGAGAGGGTCCACTTTCAAAACAAAGCCAAAAAACAGGGCTGGAGGCATGCTTCAAGGTAGTAGAGCAGCACCCAGCAAGCAGGCTGAACAAGACTGACTCCCAAAGTGAAAACTGTCAGAAAAAAAAATGGTGAAAGTAAGTAAGCACTATTATTTTGGACAGAGACTGATGCCAAATAGATTACTAAAATACAAACACAAATACACACATATCTGTGTGTATTTCTAGCCAAAATTTGTTATAATGAAAAGCAGATAATCATGAAAAAAATCAAACAGGTAACATGAATAAAATAAATTCATCTAAGCAAGGATGAAAGATGTACAGGCACCAAGGTAATAAGTCTTATATTAAGGTAAATAAATAAAATGTACAGCTCAAAATATAAATGCTTAAATAAAAATTACTAAAATGTAAAGAAATTTACAAAATGTATAAAGTTCTATAACAATTTAGATATAAAAATAAATATAACTTGAAAGCTATGAGGATTATGTCAAAAAGAAGATATTCAATGTCATTTAGGAACATATAATATTGACAATAAAAAACTAAAGGACTTTATTACTTATGTTCTAAGTAAGTGATCACTACATTCATAAAATTCTTTAATAAATGTTAAAGATAAATAAACAAAAATAACAGTTGAATAGATATACTGTTACTTCTAGCCATTTATAAATCATGTCAATTCCAGGTTCCATTTTTTAAAAAAA